TTACAGTTTGGAGGCTTTAAGTCCAAGTTCAAAGTGCCAGGCTTTAGGGGCTGGGTGAAAGCCGTTCAACCTTGGGGTCCAGCTTTGCCTCCTGCTCCCGGCCCACTGGAGCTAGAGGCATTTCTTCACTCAGACAGCTGTTGGCTGCTGAGGCTGAGAAGCCCGAAGGTCGACAAGTAAAAAGGCATAGTCCTGATGTTACCAAACCACACGGCAGGGCATTAACTTCAGTCCATTTTAAGTCCCAAGGTCGGCAGTGCACAGCAGACTGCTGAGCAATGACACAGCTACTTGCAGGGTCCAAGCTTGCCATAGACTAGAGACCATTCTCAAAGCTTCTGCTTATATACAGGAAGCAGACCACATACCCAAAGGCAGCTAGCTTGTGGTAGATCCCACCATGGAGTTGACTGCCAGTCTCATCATGGGGAATAACTACCACCAGCTGCCCAGCCACTCAACCAGGCCCAGCCAAGTTGACACAAACATAACCACCACAGGTATGCAGCACTTAACAATCACAATGATCCTCTAAAACAAAGGGACAATTCTCCAAACTGTTAAAGGACTGACTCCACTGAAAGCTATAAGGCTAACAAAAATGCAAGATGGACCTACATTGGACATGGAGAAATAATTGCTAATGGGGATTGCAGACAAAGTGAATTTCTGAAGGTTGACAATCACTGCTAAGGTACAAAGTCTGTTCAATATGCTTAAAGAAAAAGCAGGACTAGACTACAATTGGTGGTCATACAACATTCAAATCACATAACGTCCCATTTCACAGAAAGTATCATGGACATTAAGCAGTGTGTGACTGTATTAAGCAGTCTCCAGTTTCCTTATTTAAAATGTAGTTTTACACAAAAACCACAGGTATCTCAAATTCATCAATCTGAACTCTAAACTGACCCCTACTCTCAAGAGTTCCTTCTCCAGTTCAGTTCATGGAATCTCCATTCCACTTTGTGTTCAAATCAGCAATGCAGAATTCTCCTGGATGTCTCTTCCTCTCAAATTCCACTTCCAACCCATCGGCATGTCATCGTGGTCCATGCCTCCTGCATCCTGCCCCAGGGACTGCACCCTTGCTCTCCTACAGTCCCTTTGCAACAGAGCCAGCCTTTGAACCAAGTGGACTCAGGTCCCTCCTCCACAGGGTCCCACTCACCCACCGTCCATTCTTAAATTGTGAGTACTCACCACAGCTCTGGCTATCTGTCCATCTTCACCCTACTCTAAGTTCCTTGTGCTACTCCTCCACACCCCTAGCATTCACTGGCCTCAGGCAGTTTGAACTTCCCGTTTCTGCCTCCAAGAATGAACACCAACCATTCTTAGACATCTGCCTCTCTCACACTCGTATTTCTTCAGATTTCGCCTTTCAGAAAGGCTTTTTTAAATGCCGTGCAGAAAACCCCCTAACTCTGCCTCGTTGTTGGATGCCACTGACTCAGTTTCTACTCATAGCAACCCTATGGGACAGAACAGAACTGCCCAATGGATTTCCTAGGCTGTAATCTTTATAGGACCAGATGCCAGGTCTTTCTCCCATGGAGCCACCGGGTAAGTTCAAACCACCTACCTTCCAATTAGCAGCCTAGCACTTAACTGTTGCACCACCATTGCTCCCTCTGTCTCCTTACTTCATTTTTCTTCATAACATATTAACTACGTGACACATTGAAGGTCTCATCGAGTCAGTTTCTACTCCTAACAACCCCATGTACAACAGAATGAAACACTGCCCGGTCCCATGTCATCCCCACAATCACTGCCATGTTTGAGCCCACTGTTGCAGGCACTTTGTCACTGCATCTAGTTGAGGGTCTTCCCCATTGTCCCTGACCTTCTACTTTACCCAGCATATCCTTCTCCAGGGACTGGTCCCTTCTGACAACATGACCAAGACCAAAGTATAAGAAATGACATCTGGTCATTCTTAATCTAAAAAGAATTCCAGCTATACTTCCTCCAAGACAGATTTGTTTGTTTTTCTGGTAGTCCATGGTACAATCAACGTTCTTTGCCAACAACACAATACAAATACACCAATTCTTCTGCAGTCCTTCTTATTCATAGTCCAGCTCTCACATGCATATGAGGCAGCTGAAAATATGCTTTGGGTCAGGCGCACCTTAGTAAGGAAATCATTTGCAGCACATGTGCCCAATGTAATATATCATTTGATTTCCTGACTGCTGCTTCCACAGACATTGACTGTAGACCCAAGTAAAATGAAATCCTTGAAACTTCAATCTTTTCTCTCCATTTAACACAATGTTGCTTACTGGTCCAATTGTGAGGATTTTTGTTTTCTTTATGATGAATAATCCATACTGACAGCTGCACTCTCTGATCTTCATCAGTGAGTACTTCAAGTCTTCTTCACTTTCAGCAAGTGTCATGTGCATATCACAGGTGGCTACTGACTCTTCCTCCAATCCTGATGTCACATTCTTCAAATAGTACAGCTTCTTGGATTATTTGCTCAGCATACAGATTAAGTATGGTGAATGAATATAACTGATAAAAACTTTTCTAATTTGAAACCATGCAGTATCCACTTATGCCATTTGAATAACTGCCTCTTGGTCTATATTCAGGTTCCTTATGAACACAATGAAGTGTTCTGAAATTCCCATTCTTCACAATGCTATCCATAATTTGTTATGATCCACACAGCTACATGCCTCTGCATAGTCAATAAATGACAGGTAAACATCTTCCTGGTATTCTTTGCTTTTAGCCAAGATCCATCTGACATGAGCAATGATATCCTACTCATTCCATGTCCTTTTCTGAATCTGGCTTGAAATTCTGGCAGTTCCCAGTCCATGTTCAGCTGCAATCATTTGTGAATTATCTTCAGCAAAATTTTACTTGCATGTGATGTTAATAATAATTATTTGATAATTTCTGCATTCTAATGGATCACCTTTCTTTGGAGAGGGCACAAATATGAAATTCTTCCAGTTAGTTGGCCAGATAGCTGTCTCCAAATTTTGGGGCATAAACAAGTGAACATCTCCAGTGCTGCATCCATTTGTTGAAATTCTCAGTGGGTATTTCATCCATTTCTGGAGCTTTTGTTTTTTTTTACAATTTGCTCAGTCCAAGTTGAACATCTTCCTTCAATACCATCAGTCCTTGATCATATGCTACAACCTGAAATAGTTGCATGTCAACCAATTCTTTTTGGTATAGTGACTCTTTGTATTGCTTCCATCTTCCTTTGATGCTTCCTGCATTGTTCAGTATTTTGCCAATAAAATCCTTCAATATCACAACTCAAGGCTTGAATTTTTCCTTCAATTCTTTCAGCTTAAGAAATGTCGAGCATGTTTTTCCCCCTTGATTGTCTAATTCCAGGTCTTTGCATATTTCATTATAATACTTTACTTCGTCCTCTCAAGCTGCCCTTGGAAATCTGTTTAGCTCTTTTACTTCACTATTTCTTCCATTTGCTTTAGCTACTTTCTGTTCCAAACCAAATTTCAGGGTGTCTTTTATCATCCATTTTGGTATTCTTCTCCTTTCTTTTTCATGACTTTTTTCTTTCTTCATGTATGATGTCCTCCCAGACTTGTTATCTCACACAGAACTTCTTAAATTTATGTTTTGTTTCCCACTCCTTCCTCCATAACGCAAGCTCTGTGAGGAGAAAGACTTTGTGTTTTCAATGGCTTATCCCTAACACTAAGAATAAGCCTGGACACACAGTAGGTTCTGACAAACATCTGTTGACCCAGTGAAAATGCAACCTCTACTCTTATTTCAAGTCTCAGCTCCTACTTCACTTCTTCAGAGGCCTACCCTACCATATCCCTCATGTAAATAAACAAGGTCTCTCCTGTTCTCTCCCCCACAACATTCTCTTTTATATCATTCAGAATGCTTACCAAAATAGGCAACTGCATGTATTTGCATTTTAAGAAAGTTTGCTGACACTAACACTATACCATAGGAGGGAAAGAATAAAAAATGGAAGGAAAGGATACCAAATGATTATGACATACAGCAAAATGCCACTGTTAGCATTAAAAACTTCCATTTTTAGAAAGCCTGACCACTACTTAATTCTTTCCCTACTGCATTATTCAGACTCATAAAAGTGACAAAACACAAATTAAAAAAACAAGGGAACTGGCTGCCTCCTGTTACTAAGTCCAGGAGTTGTTCTTGCTTGGGAGTTTTGGGGTCTCGGGGTCAAGCAATGTCCCAGCAATCTATCTACAATGGTTTTGTAGCCATTTCTGGCAGTGTGCTGCAGGCTTCCCCTCAGCTACCCTGGCAGTGAGGATACCATGTGTTCTGCTGACAGAGGCCTCAGAACTGAGTCTCACTGGCTGATGGTCACATGCCCACTTGAAGCATGCTTTACCCAAGCACACTATAGTGGGTGTGGTGAATTAATACTGTTTCCTGCAGATGGGAAAACAGATGTGGCCAGCCTGGAAAAGCTTTCAGTTCCATCAGAGGGCTCTTTCAACCAGAGAAAAAGAGGAACTGGTTTATAAAAATTCACCATTACAGCCACCTTCATTGATATGCTTTAACAAAATATGAAAAATACAGTTAACGAAAAGGAAGACAATCACAAGCCTCTTAAATTTTAGCTTTTATGCTTTTCCACCCTGCCATGCAAGATGCATTCACTGTTCTATTATTTCAGTAGCTGTATCAACAGGTAAGAGCTGCGAATGGGGCCGATAATGAATTTGGTTTCACAAAAGAAACAAGAAACAAAAGAAGCAACAATCAGTAGTTTGCTATACATCCTATTTATTCTGCAGACAAGGTTCTGAAATGTACGGACACCGAGTTTGTAGGGTGAGAAATAAATCTGTGTAGTTGTTACTTTACAGCTACATTCCATAAAGACAGCAATGTCACATTCCTTGAACACTAAGCAGTCAGGTTTTCTCTAAAGTGAACACAGTGAGGCTAAATCGCACAGGGCCTATTTCCCCAGCTTATCATCACACACTTCTGCTCTAATCTTTAAGAACCAGTGGAGCCTTCACCTGATCAGCCACCTCCTTGCCGTTCAGGGCCTCAACAATAGCAAGAGCAAACTCGAAGCTGGTTCCGGGACCACGGCTTGTAAGGATAAGGCCATCCTTTTCCACACGATTCTCTGAGTAGCTGTAATGATCTTCAAAGTAAAAATAAAAAAAGGTTATGTCCTAATGAGTTATGTTGGACAACCACATCACTTAGCAATTCAATTCACTGTTACAGCCTATTACTGATTTCACAGAGATAAATGAAAAACAAACATATTAACTGACCATTCATAAACATTAGGCACTCCAATCCCTTCAAAGTCCTGTATGATGATGTTGAAGAAACTGTGTATAGCAAAGGATGAGAGAAACTAACAGTTGAAAGGAAGCAAATGAATACACGTAAGTTAAAGAAGGGACATCAGTGTTGAAGGAGGGGTGAGAGTGTTCTAATCACACATTTCTATTATGCAGCAAATGTTCCAGTGTCAATTCTGTGAATACCGGGGAGGCTGAAGGTGGGGTCTGCCTCTACTAATGGAACAATAAGCATGTACATAGACTCTCTTTTGCTTCAGAAATAAAAAAAAAAATTCCAGCACAATATTTGGAAGGTAGTGGGGCAGTAGGGTGGAGGGTGAACTCACATTCACTTTCTCAAGGATTACTTTCCTTCTGCACCTTCCAAATGGCTTTATTTATTTATTTTTTTTGCAAGCAATGTTGTTGGGTGCTGCTGAGTTGACTCTGACTCTCAGCGATGCCATGTGATAGACCAGAACGGTGCCATAAGGTGTTCTAGGCTGTAACCTTTAGGGAAGCAGATCTCTAGGTCTTTCTCCCAGGGCTGCTGGGTAGGTTTGAATCACCAACCTTCTGGTTAGCAGCTGAGCACTTAACCGCTGCACCACCAGGGCAAATATAAAAGCAAGAAATACACTTCTGCTACTAGATTCCAATTCAGTAATTCCTCTTCATGGACTCTCCAACAAGTAGTCATCAAATACCCTCTATTCAACACCCCACTGCCAGCAGGCCACCCCAGGACCTGGTCCCTATTTTTTCAGACACTCGACACACCAGGCTCTTCTCTGGCCCAGGAAAAGCTGCACCGGCTGCTCCCTCTGCTCAGAAGCTCTTCCTGGCTCCTCACCTCCCTTTCTGTTTCGGAGCCAACACCAACCCCTGGCCGTAGTATCTCTGACCTCCCTTTCCCAATTATTCCTAACGACCATCCCTCTGATTATTCTCCACCACAGCCCTGCTCATCTCCCTCGTTATCTGTGTAATTTGTCTGCGTCCTTGCTCACTTCCTACTCTTGAAAAGGGTAGAGCATTCTGCCCATCTGGCCTAGAACACTGACCGCACCAAGGAGATGCTCCTGTAGTACCAGGTAAACGAACTAAGGAACTCGTGCTCCTCGGGCCAGTCTCGCTTCTCCATTCCCACTGTTTCCATGCAGGATCTCTACAGCACAAGTCTCCCTTCTGGGTTTCCACCCCTCCAGGCCATGCTCAACGCTGCCAAATGGCAACCTTTCTGAAGTGCAGACTGGAGCAGATCCAGTTCTCTCCCCCATGAAAGGGTGCCACCAACATTCCACAGCCCGGAAGATGCATCTGAACTCCATTTGATGGTGCTTACAGCCCTCTGGGGCCTAGCCTCCTGCACACAGAATGGGTCAGAAAGAACCAGAAGGGAGCGAGAAGAGGCTGCTGTCCAGAGAGAGAGAGACAGGGGCCTGGTTAGGCTGGTGGCAGCAATGAAGAACAAATGAAGACTTAAAGCATATTTGAGAGATAAAATGCCTAGAACCCAGTGAAAGGTACAGCATGCAGGGGCTTCAAGAGTGACTCCCAGGAGTTTGTCTTGGGCATCTGGCAGGACGCTGGCACAACTCACTGATAAGCACAATTTTTGGGAAAAAAAAAAAAGAGAGATGTAGAGGAGGGATTAATGTGAAAATGGAGTCTCTATGTCTTGGCCTATCTGCCCTACCCATCACCAGACAGAATGCAACATGCAGGTGTGTGCACCCCAACTCTGATCATCTCTCCTGTTGTTGTTGTTGTTGTTATGTGCCGTCGAGTCGGCCCCGACTCATAGCGACCCCTCCTTGGGTTTCCGAGGCAGTATCACTACGGAAGTAGGATTGCCCAACCTTCCTTCCGAGGAGTGGCTGGTGGGTTTGAACCACCAGCCTTCTGGTTAGCAGTCAAGTGCCTTAGCCACTATGCTACCAGAGCTCCCATCATCTCTCCTACACCCCCCAAATTCAGTGCATCCCGAGGTGCCTCAGTCTCTCCCAATGAGGACACTATGGGCAAGGTTTTTTTTAAATCTCATTCCCTTTTCTATTCCCAGAGCCCAGCAGCATGAGGAAGAGCTCAGCAAATGCTGGAAATGCTTGATCAATGGAAACATACAGAAAAGTTCACCTGAGCACCCCTGAAGCAGAAGCAGTAAGCTGCTAGATTAGTGAACTTCAGAAACAGCATACTGATGCCCCAGTCTTTTCAAAGTGAATTAAAGATACCTACAATAGTTTGCCTCATTATCTGTATTAAAAAAATCAAGTCAGAAATGACAGGACATTAAAAACTTCCCATGGACACTACTATAGAGAAAAGAAAGATCTCTACTTTGTAGGGAAGAGGTTTTCATGAGCTAACCTCATTTACTGATGGTTAAACCAGGCCAAGATAATTTTAAATGCAAAACCAGGAAACCTGCTGGGCTGGTCCTCCAATGGGAGATGAACAGCCTGGACTGGGGCAACAGGAGCCACACAGTAAATGGTTCACTTACAGGTACCCTGGTGGCTATGATATTAATCATTACGAATGGAGTTTAAACTGGTCAAGATGCTTAAGGGTTCCACAGCCTTTTCCCCAAAAATTTCTACCAGGAAAAGTAAAGGGTTTATTCCATCACCTACCCCCACCTAGTGGAACTGACAGAAACAACAATGTAACCTACATTTGGTAAATCACCATGCACTGTGAGAGTTCATGGGCAACACCAGCTATTTCTATTTGTAAACTTAGGGAATGGTTACATATTTTATACCTCATATTCAAACCTATATTCATTTCTTTTTAACTTCAAGCAAAATCCCCAAAGCCAGGAAGTCTCAGAGAAGAAGCAACTGCAAATAGGAAAACTATAGACAAAGGGGTCAGCAAACTTCAGCCAAGGGCCAAATCCAGCCTACCACCTACTTTTGCAAAGTTTCATCAGCACACACACATGCCTATTTGTTTGCATATTATCTGTGGCTACTTTTGAGCTGCAACTGTTGCGTAGCTGTAACCTACTCATAAGTCCCACAGCCTAAAATATTTATTATCTGGCCCTTTAAGAAAAAGTTTGTTGACCCCTGAGCACAGCCACTCTGGGATCAAATCCCAGGTCTGCCATATAGTAGCTGTCCAACTCCAAGCCTCACTTCTCTGTAAAATGGGGATGATATACCAACCTAATAGGATTATTGCAAAAATTAAATGAGACCAAAGGACAGTGCGCCAAGTGGTGGGATTACCACAAGAGACAGTGGCTCGGTGAGGGCAGGCTCTCTGCTGCTGTGACTAGGCAGTCAAGGACGCACTGAACAAAGTCATCACTTGTTTTTTAATTTGTTTTTTTAAAAAAAGAAAAGACGTTGCTGTTCAGGTTAGACTACTTATTTGAGGAAAAATTTCATACTGAGCTATTAATTTCCTGATGAGAACAAACAGAAGGGCCTCACGCAGGAAATAATTCCACTTCTCGGGATATTCTGAAGAGTTGGAAATTTCAAACAATTGTTCTTATTATCAGACTTACTGATTAAATGCAAAGCCTTGTACAATAAACACATGTGGGAGCCTCACTATAATTCACAGCGATGGTATGGGGGGGTCCTGTTTTGCAGAACTAAAGCCAAGACAGAAGGCTAGGCTGGCTCGAGTTCTGACCTGACTTTGGACAAGTGGCTCCATCTCTGAGCATCGGTTTCCCCATCTGTGAAGTCAACATAATAGTATCTGCCCGGCTAGGTGCTGGGGACCATGAAGTTCCACCAAGACAACATACGTGACTGTCCTTGGAAAGCTCTGGCTCATGAGAGTTACAATCTAATCGTTTCTCTTCCTGATCACAACCTCATAGTTTCTGAGGCATTAAGAGAAAACAGAGACAACAGATACACCTTCAGATAATACAGGAATGTGTTCTATTCAAGTCTTCCTTCTAAATAAATTATAACTACTAAAGGAAGATGGGGCAATCTACTTCCGTAGTGATACTGCCTCGGAAACCCAAGGAGGGGTCACTATGAGTCAGGTCCAACTCGATGGCAAACAACAAAAACAAAGGAAGTCTATTTCTGTTTGCTCTATTTCTTTCAGACCCTCTTAAAGCTCTCCCTTAGGGCAAAGTAAAAATTTTTGCCTTTTGGGGTTTTTTTTCCTAGTAAAAGCAATTCTCCCAGGTTTGCTGGTCTGATAGAGGCTGATGGAACCACTGAGACTATGGCCCTTAGCTGCCCTTCAGGTCTAGAACTGAACTCACTCGTGTGGCTTCCAGCCAAACAAAAGACAGACATATGAGCTGAACATTTACATTAAGTAGATATAGTCCTTGGAGAGAACAATCATGGGAGAATAGAAGGGCTGTGCATGCACAAGGACACAGCTTAGGGGGCAGGAATGCATGGAGGGAAGGACACAGGGAAGAGGTAACTATGGGGAGGAAGTGGAAGGGAAGCTGTTGCATTGTGGGAAATTGTAGTCAATGTCATGAGACAAAGTGTATGTGAGCTGCTGTATGGAAAGTGAATTTGCTCTGTAAACTTTCATCCAAATCACAATTAAAAAAAAAAAGCAATTCTCAAGTAGACAGCAGTATTAACAGCTCAGTGTATTTCTAACAACTAAAATAAAGTTATAATTTTCAAGAAAACACTACTTTAGATAAAGTTTATGAACATGAAATATCCATCACTTTACATCCCTTTAAAAAAGGAAGTTTCAGATATGCTCACAAAGACATTCACAGATGTTCATTATAGTATGGCTTGTGAAAGCAAAAACCCCAAAGCCCCAGGAGAATAATTAAATCTATTATAAACACATTCAAACACACATAGCAGTTACGAGAATGGAGCAAATCCACATGTGCTGTGAAAAGGGATCATAAGATACACTGTTAAGTGAAAACAGAGTGGCTGCCGAACAGTACATATATAGTATGATCTCACTTGAGTAAATAAAATCTAAAAAGATAATGAAAATGGGTAGAGACAACTCAGTACAGTCACACAAGAAACTTTTAATAGAGCTGCCTCTGAGGAGAAACAGGGTGAGGGAGACAAAGAGGAAGGTTTGGTTTTTAACTTCTTCCTCTTCTGTACTGTTTGAATTTTTTACCATGAACAGAAATTGCTCTTACAAAATTAATTTTAAAAATTAAATGTCTGGCTGACAATTATGAAAGAAACATACCACAAAGGAAACATGCCTGCCACCAGGGCGTTCTCTGAATGAAGACAGCAATGCTTGTCTTACTTTGGACTGTGGAGGAAAGGGCACTTTCTGAAAGTGCTGTCAAGGTTTAAAATTTACCCTCTGGCTGCTGGCAACCTATTTAGTGAAAACACTAGCTAAAGCAGCATTTCGTAATCACTTTCCATCTGTGACCAGCAGGAATCCAGCTGGCTGCTGGCTGAGGTTATGTGCCCTTTGATCAGGGCACACACCTGGCTAGACAAGAACCTTTCCTACGGCCTGTAGTCACCTCTCTCTCTCTCTCCAGTTAAAACGCTCAGGAGAAAGTGATGAACCCAGCCAGCCTCCACATAATAGGTTGTAAAAGGAACCCATTGTTGTCAAGTCTCAGCAACTGTATAGGACAGAGTAGAACTGTCCCACAGGGTTTCCAAGGCTGTAATCTTTATAAGGAAGGAACTCTGGTGGCATAGTGCCCAAGTCATTTGACTGCTAATGGGAAGGCTGGAGGTTCTAAACCCACCAGCCGCTCCTCAGAAGGAAGACTGAGCAATCTACCTCCATAGAAATACTGCCTCAGAAACCCAAGGAGGGCTTGCTGTGAGTTGGATTTGACTCAACGGCAGTGAGTTTGGTTTTCTTCAATCTTTACAGAAGCAGACTGCAACATCTTTCTCCCAAGGAGTGGCTGGTGGGGTTGAACAGTCAAACTTTTGGTTCGCTGCTAAGCGCTTTAACCACTGTGCCACCCAGCTCCTTGTATTAGATGGCGGGGAAACAACGTTAAACTCAAGCTTTTTGAGAGGGTGTTTTGTACATTAAAATATAAACATATACTTACTTCCATTCATCATTTTGTCTTTAGCAAGTGGGTGTGTTGTCACTTTGCTCCCAAAACCTATTTCATGAGCCAAAAGAGCTGTAGGACCTAAAAATAAGACAAACAGACAGACCTTACTAAATGTAGATGCAGAAAAATCCATGTTTTACAAATTGCACTGTAAGTGTATTCTTCACGATCAAGAAACTCTTACCTAAAATACAGTCCTGACTCTGAAATTAAACAGGTCTCAGAATGAGAGGTAAAGTACGCTTATAATAAATTACGTGGTAGGCACATCTGGCAAATGACAGAGATGCATACACCAAATACTTCAATAACTATTTAACCAAAGATTTACCTTAATGTCCAAGAAGCAGACACAGAAAACAGGTTCTCCCTCAAGAAAGTGGGGAAGCGATCACCACGGGCTAACTTTGTTTTAGCAAAATGAAAGACTTAGTTCGACGATAAAGGAAAAGGTACTAGGTGCAGAACGGGCCCCCAGGGGCTGCAGCAGAAGCTGGCTGCCCCTCCTCTGCCACACTCAGGCTGCTGAGCTCCTCTTCTGAGCAGCTGTCAGTCTCCAGGCTCTCAGCCTCAGACTCCAAGCCCTCAAAGGCCAGCAGCACACTGCTCGTTTCTGTGGGGTCCTCCCTGCCCGCAGGTGGGCAGCAAGCGGCTGAGGCTGCTGCGAGAGCCATGGGCATGACAGCAACCCCACTCAGTCTTGACTCTGAGCCCCAGAGCCACCAACTGTGCCCCTAGTCCAGCAGCCAGGCCCCAGGTCCACTCAAGCACCAGCCCTAATGGTGCAGCCTTGGAATCCAGAGCACAAAAAAACACAGTGCCAAAAACACACAGTTCCAAGGGTCGGGGATCCTGGGCTGCCTCAGCATCCTCCTGCTACTCACATAATGATCTTTGGAACCTATCCATGTCGGCAAGTGAGAAGTGGGTGTATTTTGAATGCAATGTTCCCCAAAAAAGGGCTAAAAACAAAAAGGGTTTATATCTTTGTTACCTCATTATCTTAAAGCTTTCTTTAGTTATTTCTTTAGTCTTTTTGCTCTAAGTCATCAAAAAATATTTTCTAACATCTCATCTCACACCCAGAAAAACAATCTTTACAATAGCATCCTGACCTTCAAAAGTGTAGAGTACCAGGGCTGAGATCCTATGGTTTAGCCCGTACACTTTTAGCTCCAGTCAACCTTAATATTTGGTCTTACAGGTCTTTCATTTTCAACCCGATACTTGGCGCTGTGTAGTAAATTACCTGGTATGGATTTTCTAGCCGTAAGTCTTTGTAAACTCTGTGGTGGAATTTGCTGTGAGCAACTGAGGAGCTCCTGATTGTAAAAGTTATCCATCTGGGGTATTTCTGTTGTGCGCAACACAAAGCAATGTTCTGGGAGGTTCCCACTCTCTCTCAGGTGCTTAGAGTTCTGATGTTATGATTGGCTAGTTTGGCCACTCTGCCAGGCTCAAAAGGAGCCCTCCTAGAGGCAGAAGAGGTCTCTCTCTGACTGCTGGTTGAGGAAGATGTGCTGCTGAAAGACACATGCACTGCTGGGAAAGAGACGCAAGAGATACACATTGCTGAGTGAGACACCGAGGGACACGCACTATTGGGAGAGAGACTGTTAGGAGAGAGACTGTGGGCTGGGAGAGAAACTGAGCATTTTTTCCTGAACTTGAATTGTAGCCTAGTGCTTCCCTAATAAACCCTGTAATCTGTGAGTTCTATGTGGCCACTGCAGCGAATTATCGGACCCAGGAGAGAGGTGGTGGGTGCTTTGGGAGGAACGGTTGGTGAAAGGGCTGGAGGGAGGCAGCATGTCTGCCCTTGCAGGAATAGGCCTTGGGTTACTGATAGTGATTCTGTCCTCCTCTTGTGTGGTTAGAGGAGGTCAAAACTTGTGGCCTCTCTGCCTTTTTTGCACTTGGGGAAAAGTTGTTACATAATATACCTACAGAGTACTCGGGTCTTAGCTGTTAAACAACAACCTCACAGGAAGATCAAACAAATAATACCTAATTACATAAGCTTCCCACTCAGGATCAGGTGGCAGCTTCAGACCAAGTCCTAGTTTCTATTAAATGTTTAATCAAAACCCATAAATACATGTTTCTCTTCAACTAACTTGTGAGTATGTGTAATAAAAATATATGTAACAAAACATTTGGCATTTCAACATTTTTATATGTATAATTCAGTGCTATTAACCACCACCACCATGTTGTGCAATCATCACCACCATCTGTTTGTAAATTTCCAAATGCTCCACAGCCCTTAACAGAACCTCAGTGCCGTCTACAGGTGGACTCCCCTCTGCACATTCACTCTTGCCCCTGGTAAACCAAAACCAAATCCAGTGATGGACTACAGATGCCCAGAGGGTAAATCCTTATGGAAGCAGACTGCCTCATCTTTCTCCTACAGTGCGGCTGGTGGGTTCAAATGGCTGACCTTTCAGTTAGCAGCCAAGACCGCTCCTGGTAACCACTAATAAACTTGGTCACTATAAATTTGCCTATTCTAGATATTTCCTATAAGATTACATAGTATTATCCTTTTGTGTCTGACTTATTTAGCATAATGTTTGAAAGATCATCCATGCTGTACCATGTACCAAAACTTCTTTTTCTCTTTATGGCTTAGTAATATTCCATGAGCTCCAGTAACACAGTGGGTAAGGCATTTTGGATGCTAACCAGAAGGTAGGCGGTTTAAACCTACCAGCTGTTCTGTGGGAGGAAGATGAGGTAATCTACTTCCATAAAGATTTACAGCCTCAGAAACCCAACGGGTGTTACTATGAGTTACAATCAACTTGATGGCAGTGAGTTTTACATTTTGTTTATCATTTACCTGCTAACGGACATTTGGGTTGTTTCCACATTTTGACTACTGTAAATAATGCTGCAATGAACACCAGTATACAACAAATATCTTTTTGAAACTCTGCCTGAAATTCTTCTATGTATATTCCTAGGAGTAGAACTGCTAGATCATATGGAAAATCTGTATTTAAACTCTATAAACCAAAAAGCAAACTCATTGCTGTCGAGCCGATTCGACTCATAGCGACCCCTCCTTGGATTTCTGAGATGGTATCACTATGGAAGTAGATTGCCCATACTTCCTTTTGAGGAGTGTCTGGTGGGTTTGAACCACCAGCTTTCTGGTTAGCAGTCAAAGCCTTAGGTGCTACACCACCAGAGCTCCCAAATAAAGACTTACAGTGACCCCTCCTTGGGTTTCCAAGGTGGTATTGCTACAGAAGTAGATTGCCCAGTCTTCCTTGTGAGGAGTGGCTGGTGGGTCTGAACTGCCAACCTTCTGGTTAGCAGTCAAATGCCTTAAGCACTACGCCACCAGAGCTCCCAAACTGTTTTGCACAGTGACTGACTGGACCATTTTGCAATCTCACCAGCAATGGATGACAGTTCCAATTTCTTCACATACTTAACACCTGTTGTATTCTGGGTGATGGCGGTTGTTTTTAATCACAGCCATCCTAGTGGGTGTGAAGTGGTAGGTACCTCATTGTGGTTTTGATTCGCATTTCTGTAAGGACTAATGAAAAAAATTGATGTTTTTGAGATGTGGTGCTGGTGAAGAATGCTGAAAATACCATGGACTGCTAAAAGAATTAACAAACCTGTCCTGGAAGAAGTGCAGCCGGAATGCTCCTTGGAGGTGAGAATGGCCAGACTTTGGTCATGTTGTCAAAAGGGGCCATTCCCTGGAAAGGGATGTCATGCTTGGTAAGGAGGAGGGTTGACGAAAGAGGGGAAGACCCTCAACAAGATGGACTAACACAGTGGCTGCGGCGATGGGCTCAAGTACAGCAGGGATTGTGGGGCTGGCGCGGGATTGGGCAGTGTTTTGTTCTGCTGTGCATGGGGTCACTATGAGTCAGAGACAGCTCCACGGTACCTAACAACAACAACAAAGGACTAATGACCATGAGAACAAACTGACAGACCAGTGGTGGTCATTAGTCCTTAAGGAAATGCAAATTGAAACCACAATGAGGTACCCACCACTTCACATCCACTAGGATGGCTGTGATTTAAAAAAAAAAAAAAGAGTTCATTAAGAAAATAGGAAAAGAAAAAAAGACGAAATTGGAAGTCTGAGAGACTCTGAAATTTGCTACTGAACAAAAAACAGCTAAAGCAAATGGAAGAAATGATTAAATAAAAGAACTGAACAGAAGATTTCAAAGGGCAGCTCAAGAAGGCAAAGTAAAGTATTATAAAGAAATGTGCAAGACCCAGATTAGAAAACCCAAAGGGAAAAACACTTGGCATTTCTCAAGCTGAAAGAAATGAAGAAAAAATTTTACACCTCAAATTGCAATGGTGAAGGATTTTATGGGCAAAATATTGAATGATGCACAAAGCATCAAAAGATGGAAGCAACACAGAGAGTCACTGTACCAAAATGTTCAACCATTTCAGCAGGTAGCATATGATCAAGAACCAATCGTACTGAAGGAAGAAGTCCAAGCTGCACTGAAGGAAGTGGCATAAAACAAGGTTCCAAGAATTAACGGAATACCCATTGAGATGTTTTAACAAACAGATGAAGGGCTGGGGGTGTTCATTTGTTCATGCAAAAAAATTTAGAAGACAGGTACCTGGTCAATTGACTGGAAGAGATCCATATTTGTGCCCATCCCGAAAAAGGTGATTCAACAAAATGAAGAGATTATTGAACAATTATCATTAATATCACATGCCAGTAAAATTTTGCTGAAGATAATTCAAAAACAGTTGCAGCAGTAAATAGACAAGGAACTGCCAGAAATTCAAGCCAGATTTAGAAGAGGATGTGGAACAAGGGATATCATTGCTGATGTCAGATGGATATTGGCTAAAAGCAAAGAATACCACAAAAATGTTTACCTGTGTTGTTAATGACTATGCAAATTATAACAATTTATGGATAACAATGCAAAGAATGGGAATTCCAGAACACTTATTTGTGCTCATGAGGAACCTATACATAGATCAAGTGATGGCTGTTTGAACAGAACAAGGGGATACATGCACAGTTTAAAATCAAGAAAGGTATACGTCAGGGTGGTATCCTT